TCTGCACGGAGATTGGACCCGCGTTTCCCAAATGCGATAGGTATCCGATGGGGCAATACGACCAATAAATGGAATTACCGAGCTTTCAAAATGAAAAGTTATCTCCATGTAAAAGTCACGTATTCGAGCAGCTGAGGCCACAATACGAGGAAGCCTACGGCACCATTTTGCCCAAGCAAGAGGTTGATAGTGTCGCGCAATAATCAAAGCAATTGCCTCCTCTCTAGTGCAAACAGCTTCTTGTAGCGCACTCCAGCCATTCTCATTCTGAAGACTCCAATCTGCCCCAGCAGCCATCAAAATCTCAGCAGAAATTGGGTCCCGCAACCGAACTGCAAGATGCAAAGGGGTCTCACGTCCAGGTACATCACGGCGATCAATGATAGTTGAGACGGCATCAGCTTGGAGCTCAGCCTCTAGAGACTCAGCTTCAGTATTAACTTCACCTGCCTTGGCTAATCGAGGAAGCGATGCAATAAGTCGCCTAAGTGCCGCATAGTCACGGCGCGCAACTGCCCAATGGGCAGGACTGTGAGAATATCTGGAAAGATCTTCCATCAATTATTATCCCCCTGTTTTTTCTTTTAAGCTATAGCTCTTTCCATTTCTTCTAAAACCCAGACTAACATCTAAAATTTGACAAAATCTACTTACAGCTTTGTCTATAACAACTAAATGAAGAACTCCAAACAATGTCCATGATCCCCACACATTAGGGTTTTAAAATAATCAAATTCAATTGCTACAAAACAGACTCGTAAACACTAAAAATTTGACCAGTCCAGAGTATGACGTTGCCTTATCTTCTTCTAGTTTGAAAGTTCCTTCCTTCTTTAGAGGCTAGCGAACACAGAGTCAAACTTCAAAATCCTGTTCTTGAGCTCCACTTGGGCGTGATAAAGCTCATGTAGAGCTCAAATCTGAAAGGAAATAAAACGCAATCGAGGCAAATGAATTCAATCCATCCGGAAACTTTCAAAAAGAAAATCCAAAAAGAAAAAAAGTTATTGTTATCTTCCAGAGATTTTTCGAGTTTAATCGAAAACAAACAGCAAGAATCTGGCCTTTGAATCCTCGAGAGTGTCAAAACATTATGTCTAACTTCACAACTATCCATCTATTAACTAACTAAAATTTCACATTTTCCAAAGATAACGAAACGAAACGAAACAAACAAAAAAACAAAAAAACACAAGATCCTGTTCCCTTGCTTTTTCTTGCTCTCCAATTTTTCTCTGCAACCAAACAAGAAACATTTCTTTCTTCCGAGTTCAAAAAAAAAAAAAAAGAAGTACCTGAGTAAGCACGACTCATAAGGATCCCAAACTCGATACAAGCGCTTTGGTTTTTCTCTCCAGTTCACTACCTCGCTCCCATTCTCCACAGACCTGTCTGCTTACTTCCAAATTGAACTATACGGAGACGCAGCCAAGAAGAATCGAACGGTAGATTGATTCCACAAACGAGATCTAGCGGTCAGGATTCCCTAGTCGCGTACACCACCATTACTGCTGATGTGACCCGACCCGGCTCAAGTCAATTGGATCCCCGGCTCAGATCTCTCTCCTTCACTCCTCAATCTTTACTTCCTCCTCCAATCTCTCTGCAATTTCAGGCTGCGTCTACTCACTTTTGCTTTTGCTGGTTCTAGAGTGAGAACATGAAATTCCCCTCCGCTTTTGGTCAAATTTACATCCGTGCCACCAACCACACTCCCATCTCCTCTGCTTCACCTTGGGATTTTATGGTCCTTCTGATTCTCTCTCTCGTAATTTTCTTAAAAATTATTTCTTTAAATCTCTGAATTTCCAGCTTGTGTCTCTTCACTTTTGCTTTGGTTTGCGGATTGCTGCTGTTCTGGAGAACTGGTGGTAGATATCTGCCCTTGGTTGTCTAGAAAAATTACGGAATTGCCATTGTGACAGTTGTTGACTGATTAGGACTCGTTAACTCGTGATCCAACGGCTCTGATGCTGACTTGGATATTGAAGCGAAATATCCGAAAATGGCATTTTCCTTGTCTTTTTCCTTTTTTTAAAATAAAATAAATTCATTATAATTAAAAGTTATAAATTACTCTTTTAATAAATTTATTACAAAAATAGCTGAATTTTTTTTTGTCTTAAAATATAATGTTTTATTTAACGGAAATTATATTAAATTTTTTTAAAAAAAATCTTAAAATAATTATTGTGTATTTTTTTTTGTTATTAATATATGTTAATATTATTTACATATTTTAAGTTAAATAAATGAATTATTTTTATTAAATTTTAATATTAATTTTTAATTATCATAATTTTTAAATGCACGTATAATAAAATATGAGCGAAAAACAAAATTCAAGTGATTTTCTATTAACATTTGTATATTTTTATAAAAAAAAAATTATAAATTAAAGTAATTTAATAATTTTTTTTAAAAAAACATTGTAAATTACTTTAATTTTAATTTAGCCATGAAATTAGGATAACAACAAAATAATTTTTTACAATTATATACGCATGTTAATTATTCCTTTTCTCTTTTTGTCTAATTGAAAATGACGTAAATAAATTAATTATAATTTAATATTTTTCGAATAAATTAAACCCTTTTTAAAAAAGAAAAAAAATTAAAAGGTCTTTTTTCTTTTTCTCCATTGTGTGCTCGATTTAATTATTTATTCACTTTTTGCTAAAAATTTTCTAATATAATTTTTTTATATTTAAAAATATATTTATAATAAGCTACTAAAATTTAACATTTTGTTACAAAAATATAAATTTATCTTTTAAATAATAAATTACACGGAAGTATCGTGTCACTTTTTCTATCTTAAAATGAAATACATAACATTTTAAAAAATTTATATGATGTTTCCTCTCTCCCTTAAGAGTGTAAGTCAATGAAACATAAATGACTTCTCTCATGCATTTATTTTGCATTTTAATTTTTTAATACGTATTTCGTTCTCAATTTAGCTATAAATGGAATCTCTCATGAATAATTTCGTGATACATGACTCACTTTTTATTTATCTATAATAATAAAATATTTAGTATTAGTCAACTATTAAAATATCATCGGAGCACTAACAATTGCCAATTACGATGATCGGTTTATTACTTTCTATTGTAAATATTATTTAGTTACGAACAGTTATATTATTACGTTTTTTACTTGTTAGATAATAAAAACTAATAATTACTATCTTATTTTCCATCATAACTAAATATTTTATATATATATATATATATAAATATAGTAACAAAATATGCTTTAATTTTTTTATAAAAAAATCAATCCAAACATGTTAGATTAATAGAAAAGAAACACAACAAGAGCATGAAATGTAGGTGTAGGTTAGAATTGGCACTACTCAAATAAGCCATTTTATTAGTTCCAACAATTTGTAGGGATCATCAAATTCTAAACATCCTTTTAGTGTCCTTTCGAAGATATTATTATGTCCTCATAGTCTTGTTTTTTTCTTCTTTCTTTCTTTTTTTTCCCCTTGGTAGAACATAAAGGCATGTTTGTTGATTTTCTAAATCCCCATATATGTGACCAACACATACCCTACACAACTTTGCCTCTTTCTCTTTCTTTTTCTTCTACCCTTTTAGTTTTCTAGTTCTTTTAATCCCTTTCTAAAAAAACCCTTT